AGAGACTGAGAGCAGTGACGTGGTGTGTTCGACAGGAATTTTGCACTGGAGGGAAGCAGTTCGAGGAAGCTCCATGCTTGAAAGTTGGAGCATCAGCCATTTGGGATCTCTCAGCAAGAGTGGCACAGCTCAAGTTCCTTTATTGGACATGCCAGCCTCTTGTTGCATCATTTATAAAGTTCGCAGCACGAAATATTACAACCATGCACCCAAACTATCTAACTTTGGCTAATGCTAATTCTGCATGTTTAAGGGTGTGGCGATCACACAGGGTCCCTGGACATTTCACCGTCTATTGATCCCTGTGCCACCACTTTATTTCCCGCTGCCACCACCCAGGCCCTACCAGGTACAATACTGAGTCCAGTCAGGGTTAAATTGGAACATAAACTTCTGTTTATTTATTGCAGTTTAACAAGTGTGCGATTTCATAAACGGTATCGGTCAATTACAATCATGGGGTGCCTATCCAGACCTATAACTTGCGCTAGCTGCTCTCACTCACTAAACCACCTCTCAGATGTTTACTTGTCTTTCTAGCTCCTAACTGTTCCTGACTCAGCTTATTTCACTGCACTAACTCAACCTACCCCCAGACTCTATCCCAATTCACTCCCACTCCAACCAACCTCCCAACAAACTCCTCCCTTCGCCTCTCCCAGAGCTGGTTTTATAGTCCCTCTGACTCCACCCCCCTGGGTCCTGATTGGGTAACCTGTTTAACTATTTCACCTCCAGCACTCTCACATGTTAATGTCACAAAGGATTGCTAACTTTTCAATGTGATGCCAACCACATGGGTGCTTTTTTTGTTTTGGTTTTAAATATCCCATCATTACTTTTAAATTGTGCCAGAGAGGAGGTGGAAAATGTGAAGGGGTGGAGGGAGTTTCACAGCTGTGCCTTTGCCCCTCGCATCACTGGTTTGATATAGAAGTTCCTCCCTGCACTGACAGTCACACTTGACAGCCACACTTTAAGACAAAACATATTTTCAATTTTTATAAAAAAACCACAAGCGTCACAAGTTCTGCTGCTGCTTAAATTTCATCTGTTTCACATTCCCGTCTTATAACTGCCCGAATCTTAGAATCCTGACCTGGCCAGCTGTTCATTCCCTCATCCCTAAAGGCTGCCTTTTAAAAAGATATTTTAGGATTGTCACCTATGATCTACTCCCTAAACTCTTATTCCCTACTGATACGCAGTAAATATTGTTGTGTCTGAAACATTTTGCATGGAGATCCTTGCCTGATATGCAGGAGAGGCAGAGAACACACCTATTCTTTATTGTGGAAACATAGGAAGCTGCTTTCTACTGAGTCGTGTTAAGTTGTGGGCGAACATATCAGACGACACAGCGATTCTTCCAAAGCAGCTCTTTATTTGTAAGCTGGAACAGAACTGAACTGAGGAGCTCAGTCAGCCTGCTTATATAGAGCTCCAGAACAATGTAACTGTTGCCACTTTCTAAAACTATCCAATCACTGAACGTCACTTTCGATTCTTCATTTGCATACAAACTATCCAATCACTGAACGTCACTTTCGATCCTTCATTTGCATAACTATCTACGGTATCCCCCTGCTGGCCCAGGGTGAGAACTTCAGTACATAACAAGTCAGACCCTTGGTCTATCTAGCCCAGTATGTCTACACTGACTGACAGCAGCTGGCAAGAAGTTTCAGACAGGGTTCTGTCTGTTCCTTCATGGAGGAATTATTTTCATCTGGAGCATAGCAGGAAGGAAAAGGGTTAAATTGCAAAATTGTGCACATTAATTATATTCATTTTGGGCCTCGGTTTGCTTCCAGTACAGAAGCAATGAAAGGGGCAGATTAGCAGATTTAAAAGGTGATAATAGCTACAGGAAGCCACTGTTTGGACAAATTCTTGTTACAACATGTTTTTCCTTGTTAGATTTCTAAAATTATTTTTTTTTAATCAACAACAGTGCTGTCTGGAGACCTTCAAAATCTGCAAATTGGTTTAATGACAACAAAATAGATTTCAATCTTATCACTCTTAATGCTCTATAATTTATTTATAGCCAGTGAGGACAATTTTGAGAACAATTTTGTGAATTGTTGCAGTTTGTGGTAGCTCTATGAAACACTCATATTTTGAAGAACGCAATTATATGGCAACAGACATATCATTAATTTCCTTAGGATGTCATTTCTCTTCCTGGAAAATGCCCTCAAAGAGCAATATAGATGGTTCAGGCAGGGAAGACTATACAAATTTCCATATTTAGCTGTTGTCTTTTGGAATACGAAACATGCCCTTAATGGATCCTTTGAGAGGACAGGAATCAACAACACAATTTAAATTTTTCAGAGAAGAACAAATGCAGGAGGGGGAAATGTCAGCACGCAATGAGGAAAAGGAAGGAGAGGTGGAGTTAAAAACTGTTGCTGCACCAATTTTGTTCTGTCTGAAAAATGTTGGCCTTATTAGAGACACCCTCTTTGATAGCAAGTGTCTGGGGAAAAGAGAGCGGAATAGACTACTGTGTGCAAAATTAGCTTGCAGCTCTGAACATTTTTTGCTTCCCATTTTTGTCCAGATTGGGAAGCCACTAGTGCAAAATACCGGTAGATTTCTTGTAAGGGCACAGAAAACGGTGCCATGTAGACTTTTCTCTCTGTGTAGGACAGCACTCAGTCCATGACAATTCCTGAAGGTGCCTTAGGCTGCGAAGTTTCCATCTCGCACATTGATGCAGGGAATGTCACAGCTGAGAGCCTCAAATGGAGCATGAGAAAAACTCTCATCAGCCCATCAAAATTCTAGCAGCCCATTGCAAACGCCAAGATTCTGAGCATCAACACAGAAAGCAGACCCTCCTTGTCCCTATTTTCCAGGGACAGTCCCAGATTTACAGAAGCCGTCTCGGTTTCTGATTTGACCCCAGGATGTCCCGCTTTTTCCTTAGGATGGCCCTATTTTCATTGGAGAAATGTTGGAGGGTATGGAGTTACAGCACCCCCAAGCCAAGGAAATAAAATACAACCTTTAGAAGACATCTCAAGGCAGCCCTGTATAGGGAAGTTTTAGAATGTTTAATGTTTTGTTATGTTTTTATATATGTTGGAAGCTGCCCAGAGTAGCTGGGGCAACCCAGTCAGATGTGTGGGGAATTAACAACAACAACAACTATTATTATTATTATTATTATTATTATTATTATTATTATTATTATGGATATCCCTATTTTCATTGGAGAGATGTTGAGGGTATGAGAATGCTGGATTTCAAATGCAATCAAAATATTTATTTACTTATTTATTGAATTTATACCCCAGAGGAGCCTAGGACCAGCTGTCCATCATCTGCCCTAATTTTCTGATCCGTGGGGTCTTGCATTTCCTGCTTTTGCAACACATTCAGCCGCACAGCCCCACTTAGGCGTACTTTGTAAAACCCAGTAAGGAGCGCCATTCTTCTTTTACTTAAATGCTCTAATGATTTCAGCAGGGAAAATGCAGTCTATTTTTTTCCTCCTCACAAAGATGGGGATCCTACTGCTACTGACCTCTTTTCTAATCACAGGGGATGGGGGTAAGAGAGATCTTGATATGTTTTTATATATTTTCCACCGTTCCCCCACATTATTTGTCTCTGTCTCACTATCAGAAGTAAAGAACATCCTGATTCCTCATTGGAGTAATGTTTTAAATTCCCTTAGAGCTGCTTGCACTATTCTTTTGTCACAGTATACTTATAGGATGATATCCAATGGTAGTGTCAGATGGCAATGGTGGTTGCTCGTGAGTAACCAGTCAGGACGCCGACCTGTCTTTTACAGGTTTTATTTTGGTGCAAAACTATTTACAGTGCAGAACCACAAGTTCATGTCTGCCTCAATCGCTAGCAGAATCCGGGAGTGGTAGTTTCCGGGTCCTCCCCCAACATAATAGCTTAGTCACCCTCAGCCTTTTCCTTCCTTCTTTGCGTTTTACACCTCTGCGCAGGGTGGGCGGCGGAAGAGGCGTGCTTCCCTCCTGGCTGGCTTGACCAGGAGTGGTGCTGAGACTCCCAGCAGCATCCTCTGGTCCCTTCCTCTCTTCCCTACTGGAGGTGTGGCTTTCCTCACCACAGGAAGAGGAACTGCTTCACAAGATTTTTGGAGGTTCCCTGTAACTCAACTGCCCCTCTGCTTCCCTTCCCTGTTCCGATGGCACCCTGACAGGTAGTCATAGATTTTATTGACCACAGCAATAGGGGGAGATTTGGAGGGAAGGGATCGAAAGGAATTAGGGGGTGTTGCTCGAATTTGAGGAAGGACACTCACACTGGTGACCACTTCTACTCATAGATTAGTGGCCTACCACACAGGGTTGTTCTGAGGGCAACGACTGGTACACTTTGCACTTGTTAAGCACTTTAGAAATGGGTAATGCAATTGATACACTGGTATTTAGGTACCACAGCACCAATTCCCCAATAGATCCAGTGTTGCTAATCCCGCTCCAAACACGCTAATATTACCTTGTTTGCAGTATCCCTTTCACGATACCCAAGAGTCTCGCACAGGATGCAGTTTAGATGTGGTGCATCTTTCCCCCCCCCCTTTATTTCTCTTTTCACTATGCACAGAATGGCTTTTACTGGGGAGGAAATCAATAAGCAGGAAATAGTAAAAAGGAATAAAAGAGCTATTAAATGTCTGTTACAAAAGGGTACATCGCCAAATGCCTTTTTGCTGATACCATTTCTGCATCCTAGAAGGGGCAATAAAAAAAAAAGGTGTTGATGTAATGCAGAAAATATTTCCATTTGCCAGCTGAAATCAGCCAGAATAGATTTACTGTGAAACAGCCAGGCATTTTTCTTGCAAATTTCAAGAATAAAAACGAGCATTCTTTTTTGCCTTTTAAAGCATGAGAGAGTGAAAAGAAGGGTCGGACGGTGAGGATAGGAAGAGAAATCTGTGCAGTTGCTAATGCCAAGAAGTTTCTTTCTATGACTCTAAACCCGCTGTGTTATGTTAACAGATCTGGGGAATTTCAGTGGTCGGACGAGAAGTGCTGTGTCAGTGCGGGAAGGTCAAGGCGTCGTTCTGATGTGCTCCCCACCGCTCCATTCACCAGGTACAGCTGACTGCCTTTCTTTTGTGCTGATGTGGGTCTCACTTTTCTGCACGCTCATCATGTCCAGCCGTGGTCTTGACTATGAATTGTTAAAGGCTGAACTATGCACAAACCCATGACCAGTTCTGGAACCACCAAAGGAATACTGGAAGACCATCCACCATGAATGCTGTTGAGCAGGAGAAAGGGTGTGTCAGATAAGGCCGCCTTCGTTCCATTTCAACTAGTGATGTGAACTTCAGTAGCCATGGGTGTGAAAAGGAATGTGGCACAATGTGTGTGTTTGTCTCTGTGTCTCTGCATGAGAGATACCAGGCTGTCTGTTTATGTGTGTATGTTTTGACTCCACCTACTCTGAGCTTTTGCCCTGCCCACTTTCAGTACACAGCCCTTGCCCAGGGGGATTTGCTCCTGGGAGGAGGGTGGAATAAGTCAGCACTCACCCTTGGAACTCACTGCCTATTGACATCAGGCAGATGTCACTGTTTTCAGCATCTGCTAAAAACATTTTTGCTTAGGCAAGCCTATTAAGGTCTGACCTTCTTGTTTAGGAAGGCCTTCAGATGCTGGACTGCACTTCTGTCTGTGTAATTAGTATTATACAGTGTTATTATCTTTATTGTTGTTGTATTTTAAACATTTTAATGTTTTTGGTCAAAGGCAGCAGCAACTGGAATGGTTGGCTGTCAAATGATCAGGTCCTCAGGGCTTCTCTGACTCAATGTCAGAGACCAGACTGAGGAGTACTGCTCTGATGAGGGATAGTGGGAGCCTCGCCCTCCCCCTGCTCCTGACCAGGATCCTGAAGCTGCCCAGGAGCAGTGGAGCAGTATAGATTTGGAACAATGGTCTGCAGAGGGGCACAGTTCTGAAGACAAAAGTTGGGATGAACTGGGGGGTGAATAGCAAAGTGAAGAAGAACAGGATGAGGGAAAGCTAACAAACTTTCTCTCGCTGGAAAGTGTCCAGCCTATCAGTCTAAGGTCACGTAGAGCAGATAAGGTGGCTACACAAAAAGCATGGTGGTTGCGAGATCAGGGTGCAAGGTGTGGAAGTGACTGGGGGGGAGGATGGCTGGAAACCTTAATTGAGAACAGCTTTACTCCGAGATGGACTCTCTGTTCTTGAGCTGTGATGATTAAAATCTCTTTAAATGATAAGAGACTATTTTTGCTTTGTTCTGCTTATCCACGGCCAAAGGGAGGGAGGAAGCCCCTTTCCCGAAGCCTGACACTCAAATAATAAAACATATATTGGACTTGTGCTGGTTTAACTGATCCTCCAAAGAATCATGGGAATTGTAGTCTGGTTAGGAATAGCACTGCAGGCTTTCCAGGGTTTTCTGAAGAGGCAGAATAAATCTACTTTAAGCATAGCCTTGAGTTAAATGGCCTTGATAAGATCCTGGGGTTGATCAAGATGTTCATTTATCCCAAACTAAGTATGACCATCACTTTCATGAAAGTTCATCAGTGACCACTGAGATGTGGCAACAGATGTCATCAGCTCTGGAACCAATCTGGATGTAAACTGCATTGTGTCTGCAGAAGTCAGTAGGATGCCTGTTGATGTTAATGGAGTGGTTCTATTTTCATAGGATTATTTTTCACGAACAATGGTTACAGTCATGTATTGTGAAATTCTTCAGGTGGGGACTAGTCAGCTCTTTTATTATTCACTCTTCAAAATTACAAGGTTTGCATGACTTTTTTTTTTTTAAAAAAAAAGAACAGAGCACTAATAGTTCCCAGTCATTGGAAAAAATTACTTTTTACTATCTGCGAGAGAATGAAACCTCATTGCAGAGAAACACATCAGCACTAGGAAGGCTTTGCTGCTCAAGCAAAGTCCCAGGCCAGACAGGAAGCCTTTTATAGCTTTCCCTGCCCAGGGGAGATCAGCAGTCATCCTGGGTGGTCAGGACTGGTCTAGAGCCTGAGAAGACATCACTGTCTAATTGCTTTCCCAACCTGCTGTAATGCTAGGGCAGCACATAGGGCGGCTGTGCCCATATATCAAAGATATAGCCCTGGCACCTCCTGACACCATGAACCGACTCTTCTGAAAATTGGTAGAGACTTGTTCATTGAGGCAAATGGGGAACTGCTCCACCAATTTCAATCCACTCTCGCTCAGTCACCACCTGCTTGCCTCTTTCCTCCCAACCAGCCAGGAGGTAGCTTTGCTTTCTGTTCCTCCTACTTTTGGACTCCCAGGCAGTGTGGTGCAGTGGGAGAGCCAGCGTGGTGTAGTGGTTAAGAGCAGTAGTCTCATAATCTGGTGAACCGGGTTCGCTTCCCCGCTCTTCCAGATGCAGCTGCTGAGTGACCTTGGGCTAGTCACACTTCTCTGAAGTCTCTCAGCCTCACTCACCTCACAGAGTGTTTGTTGTGGGGGAGGAAGGGAAAGGAGCCGCTTTGAGGCTCCTTAAGGGGAGTGAAATACAGGCTATCAAGTCCAAACTACTACTACTACTACTACTACTACTACTACTCTTCTTCTTCTTCTTCTTCTTCTTCTTCTTCTTCTTCTTCTTCTTCTTCTTCTTCCTCCTCCTCCTCCTCCTCCTCCTCCTCCTCCTCCTCCTCTTCTTCTTCCTGCCCTCCCTGGAGATGCCAGCAATCAAACCTGGGATTGTCTGCATGCAAAGCAGATCTTCTACCACTGACCTATAACCTGACATGGCTGGAATGAGTGAGGGTGGTTCGTTCCTTCAGAAATCAACCCAGAATCCTCCCTATTCAGTTAACTCTCCCGATTTCTCTCCCTCCTTCTCTCTCTCTCTCTCTCTTTACACTCCCTTGTCATTCTGACAAAAGGCAAAGTTGATATGTAAGTTAACGAACACCAAAATACCATGGCCTTGAATATATGGTGGTTCAATTGCAGAAATGTTTCTCCCCCTGGGGATGGTATTGAACCTCAGGGGAATGAGGAACACTAGTTGGCCTTGCCCAATTAAGCCAGTGTTAGGTGCTGGAGGAATGAGACGCCCTGACAAGAAATCTCCTTTAGGGCAGCTTGCTCGCATGTTGCAAGGCTAACAATGTCGGCAAGTATAACTCCAGATGCCATTGTAGGAAACGTGAGAAAATGAGAAAGCACGAGAAAGATGGCAATTAATTAACTTGAAAAATGCACCGAGACGTTTGGCTCTCGGCCACGTCCTTTATTGCCTTTTAGGCATCTACCGTATGTGGGTACTGATATATGGGACAATAATGAAGGGAAGGGACTTTTTCCCCCTCCTCCTCCCCAGGGACAGGTTAATAGCTTGTTACGGAAACATCCCAATTAATCTACATTTTGTAAATTAGCTCATAACTAGCGCTGTAGCTTCAGTTCCCAGCACACTATCTCTGTACATGCATAAGCTCACCACGATTCTGGTATATGCTTCACCAGACAGACTGGGTTGCTTTATCGCATGAGAAGTCTCGCTTCTCTATCTATTGGGAAGCAGACCATTTTCAGTCACTGTTGCAAGCTGCAAAAAAGTATCATGTTCTGGTGTTCATTCTAAGCCAGGGATGGGGAATTAGTTGATACCATTAGTCCCTACCTCTCAAATGAACTGGCTCTTCTCCAACGATGTCTGTTTTCTTCCATGTTGCCACCTGCAGAAGAACTGCTTATGCTAACTGATGTTTCAGTTTATTTGCATGTTTATGTCCTTGTCTTCTTACATTATGTCAGCAAGCCGACAGTAAATCACACTGTGCCAATTGGAGTTAACACTTTATTAGCAAAACCGTGATCTGCAGAGACTTGGTGGGGTGTCAGGTCTTCCTAATGAGTACAGCAACTCATCCCTCATGAAAGTCTTGCCCCATAAAGTTGAGATGGAAGGTCCCTGCCTCCTCATAGCCCAAGTCCCCTCCTCTCCAGGGTTTCCCCAAGCAATCAGAGACTGTGCCGGCCAATCTCTCCTCTGCCCTTTTCATGCCTCTTCTGGTTCTGGGAGATAACCGGAGAGAGGAGCTTGTTGCAGCAGGAAGCAGAAACACCCATTACTTCACCAGCCTGACTCATCTCTGCCTCTTGACCTCTCTCCTCCTACTCACGTGCTTCAGCTTCTGATTCTGGACTTCTTTAGCCAAGTTCACTAAGCCGTGTTACTGCTTCAGCTCCCTCTAACCACTCATCATTGTCCCACTACCTCAAGGGCTCTGAGCCTTCCCCCCTTGCTGCTTCCCCCAAAGGGTTCCTCCCACCAGGAGCCCCCTCTCAGCTAAAATTATTCTTATATCCCAGAAGCAAAGGAAAAGATCCTCTGTGAACTGTGTATGAGACACATAACTAGACACATACCCTCCCAACATTTCTCTGATGAAAATAGGGACATCCTAAGGAAAAGTGGGACATTCCAGGATCAAATCAGAAACCAGGATGGCTTCTGTAAACTTGAGACTGTCCCTGGAAAATAGGGACACTTGGAGGGTCTGTTATTAATGTCAGGCCATTCCTCTTCCCTGACAGTGCCTTCGTAACTGACGCAGGCCTAATAAGATGGAGATTGTTAAACTCCTAACTATAAATGATTTAAAGTGGTTTAACTCTGGGGAAAATGAATCTGCGATGACAGCATAATTGAAGGGGATCAGGTGCAGAGTTTCATGGCTGTGAACGTTCGGATTAAAGACGGGAGGATTACGCAAATTTAGGCCAGCATCTAAGCACCCACAGCAAATGTGTTAACACCCCCCCCCGCCTCTTTAATGAGTGAGATTCATTCTCATGGGGGCTCAAAAGAGCTTCTAGGTGTCGCAAGCATCCCCTTTGGCCAGAGTGAGCTATCCTTGACAATATGATAATTAATTGTGCTCTCGGTCGTGATCATTTGCTTGCTGATTTCTAGCTGCTGCACTCTGGTCTTGTTGAAAGTAATAATTTCTGAGCAGTTCGTTATTGAGTGGATATCTTTGCATGTTGGCACAGCTCCCATATGCTGCAGCATGAAGCATCTCTGCATGTCAAGCAGCTAAATTGCTGGACTTTTA